CCCCCCCCCCGCCACCACCGGGCGCTGGATCTGGTGGTGGCACCATGCAGGGTTTCGGGGCCCGGCTGGTTTGGGTGCTGGTGCTGTCGCTGGCCTGGCTGGGCCCGGTGCTGGGGGGTGAGGAAGAGGAGGAGGAGGTGGTGGCGGAGGAAGAGGAGGAGGGTGAAGTGCTCTCGGATGAGATCGAGGAGGAGGACGATGTCCTGGTGCTCCACGAGCACAACTTTGCCCGTGCCCTGAGTGAGCACCGGCTGCTGCTGGTGGAGTTCTGTGAGTGCCAGGGGTACGGGTGCAGAATGGGCACAGGGTGGTGGGCAGGGGCAGGGGTACGGGCAGGGGCAAGGCTGTGGGTCAGAAGGACAGGGGCACAGGTTATGGCACGTGAGAGGGTAAGGATATGGGGCATGGGATGGGGACAGGGATATGAGGCAGGGGCATGGGGAGGGGAACATGGCAGGGGACACGAGGCAGGTGTGAAGGGGGTGGGATGGTGCAGAGGACAGAGATGTGGTGCAGGGGCTTGGGGCAAGGGATGGGGACAGGGACATGGGGCAGGGACACAGGGCAGAGGCACGGGGCTGGGGACGTGTAGCAGGGACATGGGACATGGCTGGGGACACAAGGTGAAGGGAGTGGGACATGGGGCAGGGGCACAGGTTATGGGATGTGAGAGGGTAAGTAAGGGTATGGGGCATGGGATGGGGACAGGGACATGGGGCAGGGACACAGGGCAGGGGCATGGGGCTGGGGACATGTAGCAGGGACATGGGACATGGCTGGGGACACAAGGTGAAGGGAGTGGGACATGGGGCAGGGGTCAGGGACGTGGTGCAGGGTCTTGGGGCATGGGATGGGGACAGGGACATGGGGCAGGGACACGGGTTATGGGATGTGAGAGGGTAAGTAAGGGTATGGGGCATGGGATGGGGACAGGGACATGGGGCAGGGTCTTGGGGCATAGGATGGGGACAGGGATATGGGGCAGAGACACAGGGCAGGGGCATGGGGAGGGGGACATTGCAGGGGACATGAGGCAGGTGTGAAGGGGGTGGGATGGTGCAGAGGATGGAGATGTGGTGCAGGGGCTTGGGGCAAGGGATGGGACAGGGACATGGGGCAGGGACACAGGTTATGGGATGTTAGAGGGTAAGTAAGGGTATGGGGCATGGGATGGGGACAGGGACATGGGGCAGGGGACAGGGGACAGGGACATGGGGCAGGGCCTTGGGACATGGGATGGGATCAGGGATATCAGGCAGGGACACAGGGCAGGGGCATGGGGAAGGGGACATGTAGCAGGGACATGGGACATGGCAGGGGACACGAGGCAGGGACACACTGTGAAGGGAGTGGGACATGGTGCCAGGGATGTGGGCGGGAGCGGGAGCTGGAGCCCACCAGGCTCACGCAGCCATTACACCCCTGGCCACCCTCAGAGCCCGGGGACACCCAAAAGTCTGTCTGGGCCTGTCCCTGCCACCGACACTGTCCCCTGCCCGCAGACGCGCCGTGGTGTGGGCACTGCCAGCGGCTGGCCCCTGCCTTCGCCCAGGCGGCCACCGCGCTGAGGGACGAGTCCAGCCCGGCCCGGCTGGGCAAGGTGGACGCCACGGCCCAGACAGCCCTGGCCAACGAGTTCGGCATCACCTCCTACCCCACCCTCAAGCTCTTCCGTGATGGCAACCGCACACACCCCGTCCCCTACACCGGTAGGGCCACGGCACCCGCCGAGGGGGACACTGGGATGGGTGCCGGGGCGGGCTGGGGCACAGGGGTGGGTGGCAGGGGGTGAGGGTGAGAGGGGTGGCCATGCCTGGATGGTGCGTGGGTGGCAGCGCGGTGGCGGTGACAGCAGGTAGTGTCACGGTGTGATGGTGCACGGGTGACAGGAGGTGATGGCAGAGATGTGGCAGGTGGGTGGCACGGTGTGTGGGGGGGATGAGAGGGTGGCAGCCCGGCGAGGGGTGGCCAGGGTGATGGCAGGTCCCCGCTGTGCATGGCAGGACGCATGGACGCCAAGGGCATCGTGGGCTGGATAGAGCGTCGGGCCGGCCCCAGCGCCACGCTGCTGGAGGACCCCGACACCGCCGCCAACTTCATTGCCTCCCAGGACTTGGTGGTCGTCGGCTTCTTCAAGGTGGGCTGGGGTGGGCTTTGGGAGGTGGGTAAGGGCCATGGCTGTGGCCATGGCCACTCATGAGGTGGCCACGCAGGACCTGGAGAGCGAGGCAGCCCAGGTGTTTTACGAGGTGGCCGGCGACGTGGTGGACATGACGTTCGGTGTGGCAATGGCCACTGAGCTCTTCGAGGCCTACGGGCTGTCGGCCGACACTGTCTGCCTCTTCAAGAAGGTGAGGGGGCAGCAGGGGGGTGGTGGGGACATCCTGCTGTCCCCCCCAGCCCTCACTGTCCCTCACCCCGGCAGTTCGATGAGGAACGGACAGACTTCCCTGTGGACCCGGCGCGGGGGCTGGATGCGGCCGAGCTCACCCAGCTGCTCCAGGTCCACAGGCTGGAGCTGGTGATGGAGTTCACTAACGAGGTATGGCTTGGCCCCATCCCCATCCCCATGAGGGCCATGGCCCCCCAGCCCTCACCCTCCTCTTCATCCTCCCCAGACCTCCGACTACATCTTTGGTGCCAAGATCCCCCACCACATGCTGCTCTTCCTCAACAAGTCATCATCGGGGCAGCTGCAGCTGAGGGATGACTTCCGGGCAGCCGCCAGCACCTTCCGGGGCAAGGTGAGGAGGTCCCATGGTGGGGACATGGTGGGGGTGGCCATGGGGCACCTCAGTGTCACCTGTCCCCTGTCCAGGTGCTCTTCGTGGTGGTGGATGTGGCTGGGCATGGCGCTGGTGTCCTGCCCTTCTTTGGCCTGACACCCGACGATGCCCCCACCCTGCGCCTGGTCAAGATGGAGAACAACCGCAAGTACCAGATGGACCAGGACGTCTTCTCAGAGACGGCCATACGCACCTTCGTCCAGGAGGTGCTGGATGGCAAGGTGAAGGTGAGGCACCGTGCCAGCCAGCACCAAGGAGGCTGCCCCGTGGTGAGCGGTGGGCTGTTAACTCTGAAGCCTAATGATGGCAGTTGTGTGGTGACCATCAGCCACCTGCTTGCTGAGGCTTGTGCTGCCAGGACTGAAGATCTTGGGGTGGGGGGGTGTTATGGAAAAGGAGGCAGAACATCAGTGTGGAGACGCATAAAGCTGGGATGGCAACAAAGGGGAAGAGGTGGTCCAAAAGATAGCAGAGGAGATGGGTGCAGGCTGGGGGTCCCCTGAGCACCTGTGCCCCGTGTGGCCCCTGGCACCGCTCAGCCTGTGCTGTGGCTGTCCTGGCTGTCCCCACAGCCCCGTCTGCTGAGCGCGGAGCCCCCTGAGGACTGGGACACACGACCTGTTAAAGTCCTGGTGGCGAAGACCTTTGAGCAAGTGGCCTTTGACGAGACCAAGAACGTCTTTGTCAAGTTCTGTAAGTGCCAAGGCCACCCATAGCCCTCCCCGAGCTCTGCCATGGGGCTCAGCCCCACAGTGTGACAGCCCCCAGCCCCGTCCCTTGCCCCTCGCCCAGGGGACACTGTACCCTGACCCTGGCAGAGCCCTGGTCCCCTGGCTCGTCCCCCAGCACTGCACCCATCCTGCAGATGCCCCGTGGTGCTCCCACTGCCAGGCCATGGCAGCCGCCTGGGAGGAGCTGGGCGAGCGCTACAAGGACCATGAGGACATTGTCATCGCTGAGTTGGACGCCACGGCCAACGAGCTGGAGAACATCACCATCCACGGCTTCCCCACCCTGCACTACTTCCCCGCGGGGCCGGGCAGGAAGGTTGGTGGGGGGCACCTGGGGGCACCCTGACTCTGCCAGCACCCGAGGGATGGGGTGGTCACCCCCTCATCTCCCTTCCATCTTGTGGCTCCAGATGGTTGAGTACAAAAGCACCCGAGACCTGGAGACCTTCTCCAAGTTCCTGGAAAATGGGGGGACGCTGCCTGAGGAGCCACCTGTGGTGAGTGAGGTCCCCCCAACCCCAGGGCTGGGGACACCCCCCATGCTGGGACAGCCCCCAGCCTTCCCCGGGCAGGGGGATGGATCCTGCGGGATGGGGATGGGGGTGTCCATACCTCACTGTTGTCTTCTCCAGGTGCCCAAGCCCCCCGAGAACAGCACGGGCAGGGGGGAGCCGAGTCCGGTGGGGACAGCCGAGTCCCGGGATGAGCTGTGAGCCCCGTCCCGCTCCGGAGCCTCCTATAAATGACCTGGAAACCATGTGGGCTCTGGTCTGTGTCTGCGGCTCCCCAGCACCTCCTGGGGAGCACCCGCGTGTCTTGGGGACGCAGAACCACCCCCCTCAACAGCTGAACCTGGGGGGTCTCCCCAGCAGGGGACCTCAGCCCTGTGTCCCCATGGGGGGGTTGCTGTACCAGCATGGCCCCGTACGTGCCATGGCACTCATCCTGGCAGCCATGCCGTGACACAAAGTGGCCAAAGCCACAGAGGACATGGCCCTGGGGGGAGCCTGGGGCTCTCCAGGCTGGCCCTCGTGCTGATGGTCCTGGTGGGGACCATCTGGAAGTGTCCCCATCCTGGCTCCCAGGCATCCCTCCTGCCCCAGGCTGGGGCTCCACAATCACCCACCAGCCCCAGGAGGTGCTGCCACAGCTGGGACAGCAAGAAGAGCCCAACATGGGGCTCTAAAGGCTCCTCTGAAGCCTGGCTCACAGCTTATGTGGCCCCCCAACATCCCCCAAGCCCCCAGCACCATCCCCTCCCCCTGGACCTGCTGCTCCCAGACCCCGGGCGATTCCCCAAGGGGGCAACACCTTGGTCCCCCCATGGCCAGGACATGCCCGGCCACCCCTCCAGGGAGCCCAGGGCCACCCCAGCCCCACCATGTGGGGCCCTTCGCCTGAGCTGCCCCATCCTCCCATCTGCTCCGCGGGGAAGGAAGAAAGCAGCAGGCGGTGGGACGTGGGGTTTTATTTCATTTTATCCAAGTACCTTTGAAAAGATCATTGTACAAGTCAGCACATGAGTACGCAGAGCAGACGTCGCCGGGGCCGCTGTACATATTTACAGGGGACATTCTCCCCCCCCACCCCAAGAAAAAAAAAAAGGAGGGGGGGGGAGACAGAAATCCCAGGCATGTTAACAACCTCACCAGACACAACACCATCAGAACTTCTTTTTTTTTTTTTTAAAAAAAAAAAGGGGGGGGAGGAAAAACACTCGTAACGCCGTTCCTGGGCTGAAAACAATTGTGGATTTTGCTGGACTTCATGTAGCGTAATAGGCAAGTCACAGAACCGTGTTTTAAAGGCACTCGGTGACATTTACAACAGGCTGGGTGGCATCCTGGGGTCCCCGGCAGCTCCAAGGCGTCACCATGGCTGAGAGCAGCTCTGGGCAGGATGAGCGCCGACCTGGAAGCCCCCCAGCTTTGGTGGCCACCCCGGCTTCTGCGGGTGGGCAAGGGCTGGTCTCCGAAGGAGCCAGTGCAGAGACGTGGCAGGGCTGAGGGCAGGGTGGGGGGAGCACCAGCGCAGCCCCCAGCTTTCTTGCGGCCGAGTAAGCCCAGGTGGCTTCCCAGGGTGCTGGCCACCTCGCTGGGTGACCTGGCCCTACACAAGCCCCACTGACTGGCACCAACCACCCCCCACCTTGCTCTCGGCTGTGGGCTGCACTGCCCTCCTGCTGCCCCCCCTGAGACACAGAATGTTTTACATCCTCAGATTTAGTGTCTTATTGGTTCCCTCCCCTACATTTATCCTAAAAAGCATCTCCTGACCAAAGCTGGAGCTCGGCATCGGGGGTTTGGGCATGTCTGCACTGGACACATGGGTGCTGGCCCTCTGCAGGACCCTCCTGGGAGGTGAGACCTTCTCCAGGGGCAGGGGGGACATGGAGGGGGGACAAGCGTGCGGGATGCCAGCACCCAGCTTGCCACCCCAGCTCCCAGCTGGTCCTCACGCCCTGGGAAGGTCCCCCCATCCCTGAGAGCTGGCACCCACCCCTCTGTCCCGTGGGGATTTACTCGGTCGCAAGAAAGCTCAGGAGGAAAAAAAAAACCACACCATCCTACCACGTCCTGCAGCTGAGACTGCCAGGGAGGCGAGGGACTGACTCGTTCCTAATGGCTCCATCATCTTCGGAGGGGAGCTGGGACCACAGCCCCTCGGGAGCGGTGGGGGGAGAGCGGCTCGGCCCCCGGGGGCTCCGAAGCCATCCCCGCCGGGGGGGGGAACCGGGGCAGGGTGCCGTGAAAAGCGAGGAGCAGAGGGAGCCTGGCGGATGGATGGCTGTACACTTTGGGTGAGTTCTGCAGTACCTGTATGTTTTACATTTACATAAGAGCACTGTGACATTGGAAATATTTTCCTTTTATTACAATATATCAAAAATATGCAGCTTTAGTAAACAAGGTCATATTACACTTTCTAATGCACTGTACAATGCTACATTACACTTATATTCGTTATGGAGAGGGAGCCTGGGCTCCCACTGGCAGGTTGGTGGGGTGAAACGGCATCCACCGGCACCCGGAGCTCGCCCAGGGCCGTGCCGGAGCAGGTGGCCACCCTCTGCCCTGGGCTTGCCCGGTGCCCGTGGCTGTAGCACCACCAGCATCCACCCAGGCCTTCTCCTCCGGTCCCAGAGTCTTTCACAGTCCTGTCCTCACGCCTCGGCAGCCCCTGGAGCTTAGTCGATCTTTTCCACTTTCCCGATGATCTTCTCTTCAAAGATGGGCAGGATGGTGTCATCCTCCCGCACCTCCTCGAAGACCACACCACAGTCGAACTCGTCGCTCACCTTCTTAAAGTAATACCTGGAAAACCAGAAACATGGGGGCAGAGAGGAAAAAAAAAATCAGGTGAATGATCACGACGGCAGCACAGTCCCCAAACCTGGGTACGGCCTTTCCACGTCCTGAGCTTGTGGTGGATGGGGAGCAGCTCTCCCAGACATGGAGGCAACCGGGGCCGCACTTCTGCCCCTGCCCTCACCCAGGGAGCAAAAAAGAGTGGTCAGGATCTGTGCTGGCACGTTCAGGAGCTCCAGCCCTGAGTCCAATCCCACTCATGGCTCCCTCAAAAGCAGTGGCTGGACGCAACCATGTTGGTGGAGCATTTCTAGGCAGGCTTTCCACTGGCAGCCCCTACTTGGAAGGGGAAACGTGGAGAGCTACACGACCCACGCCTGGTTGCTCTGGGGCTCCAGCAGGACCTAACTTCCCTGTCCTCACTGGAGGAAACTTTGGGAGCAGCTGGAATGGCTCTGGCAATTGGATTATTTCCTACAGCAGCACTGAGCACTGGTTGGTGCTGCTCCTCAGCAGCCCAGGAACCCGCAGGGCAACTCAGCAGCTTCTGTTGAAGGTACAAACCATGATGCAGGACATTTCTGCTACAAAACCCAATCTCCCTTTGTCCCTGTAACCTGCTTCTTCAACAGCCAAGGTGCCTTGGCCATGCTGCCACAACCCCCACCACCAAGACCTCTCCTGGAAGGCTCCAGGAACCTCCCTTGACCTACCTCCACCACGGTCCTTCACTTTGGAGGGGGCAACACTGCTGCGTCCTGGCAGTGGCATCTGCCAGGGGTCACTGGCAGTCTGCTGGCACCGTACCGCAGGCGGGGAGGGGCCCTTACCTGTAGTTCCCTTTCTTGGTCAGCAGCTCCTTGAACTGTCCCAGCGTCACCACGCGCCCCTTGACGAGGGTGCGGTAAGGGATGGGCTCTCCACAGAAGTAGTAAGCGACCACGATGTTTTCACAGGGCTGGGACGCGCCGCTGCCTGGTCTCTTCTGGGGCTTCAACCTGCCGTGCAGAAATACAAGCGACCTGCTGAGCACCGGCCCACCCGCCGGCGTGGGCAGGCCCCACGGCCCCTCTCTGGAGATGGAGATGCTGGATTAACACCCAGGGCCCTCAGGAGCACCCATTGCTCCAGCCACCATCTCTCTTGGGCTGCCGAGGCTGGTGGAGGAGTGAAAGGCACTTGGAAAGGCTGGATGGGGCTAGACAGCAGCTACAAGGAGGGCAGCAGGTTATAGCTCAGCCCCTTTGTGCTGAAGAAACCCATCCATGGGCTTTTTCGACTCAGGGGAACCATCTGTAAGCTCTGGGCAAGACAGAGCATCCCAAGCCCACGGCAGCAGACCCAGGCCACCATCCTGCTCCTGGTGCACGCCGAGCGGGCATGGCTGGATGCACACTTGGAGATAACGCACACGCTGCTCGGACTGCTCTGGATTATTGCTGCTGTGGCCAAAATAGCTCAGCATGGCTTTCTGCTGACCTACATCTGCAGGGATGCACAGGCAGGACTACTCCTGCTCCCCCCGGCTCCACCAGGCACCTCTTCCAGCAGAGATGGACATGGGAAGGGATGGAGCTCCCAGCGGGACATGCCCTGGAGGTTTCACTGTCTGTTCCTCTCCATGCAGGGTGACAAAGAAGCTGCCATCCCCAAACCTCAGTGACTTAAAATAGAATAATAGAATGGTCTCTGTTGGAAGGGACCTTTCAGATCATTGAGTCCAACCATCAACCCAACACTGACAAAGCCACCACTAAATTGTGTCCCTGAGCACCACATCTGCCCAGCTGTTAAATCCCTCCAGGGATGGTCACTCCACCACTTCCCTGGGCAACCTCTTCCAAGGCTTAATAACCTCTTCAGTGCCAAAATTTTTCCGATATCCAATCTGAACCTCTCTGGTGCAACTTGAGGCCATTTCCTCTTGTCCCATTGCCTGTGACTTGGGAGAAGAGACCGACCCCCCCTTGCTACACCCTCCTTTCAGGGAGTTGGAGAGAGCGAGAAGGTCTCCCCTCAGCCTCCTTTTCTCCAGGCTGAACACCCCCAGCTCCCTCAGCCGCTCCTTACAAGACTTGTGTTCCAGCTTCATTGTCCTTCTCTGGACCTGCTCCAGCCCCTCAATGTCTTTTTTGTGGTGAGGGACCCAGAACTGAACACAGTATTTGAGGTGGGGCCTCACCAATGCCGAGTCACTGCCCCAGTCCTGATGGCCACGCTGTTACTGATACAGGTCAGGATGCTGGTGGCCTCCTTGGCCACTTGGGCACATACTGGCTCATGTTCAGCCAGCAGTTGATCAACAGCCCCAAATCTCCTGTGTTTTCCTGACTCTCAGGATGTTGTTCTGGTCTCTGCTTCCAGCCCACACACCGGGGTTCTGCTCCGTGGTGCCATCACTAAACCAGAAGTGTCAGCCCAGGCCTAAC